TCCCATTGTTTGGTACTCGAGCGAGCGTTTCGAAGGCGGCTGAGCCATAGCTAAAAGCTGCGTGGCTAGTGCCCGCGAGTCAGCTGAATAGCGGCTTTTTGAAATCCCAGCCTTCTGGTGCTGCTGGCAAAGTGCCGAGAACGTGCGTGCCTCTCGCTGTGCACAGACAAGTTACCAAAGCAAAAGGAACCAGAAGTGACGCCTGGTGCGCTTCTTCTGTCTGTGTACCTCGTCGAATCGGTCTATTCCGCGACCAAGAATAAACGCAACGTGTTGACGACTCTTTGCCACGTTGGCCCACATTCAAATCCGGACGTTGCACTTTACTGCCACTTCGCAGAAAACGCCTCTTAATGTCTGTCAATATAGTCCTTGGCCACGTCAAAGGCCAGACATGGCACCCCTGAACTTACAAAGCTGTGACGCTTCTATGAATTCTCTGTACGGAGTACGGATACCCACGGCTCGTACGTACTTACATAGCAGAGGGAGGGCAAAAGCAGCCAGCCGATTTTAGGGCTGAGCAATGCCTTGCCTGTTGCGTCGCTTGTCCAGCTGAAAGGGAGGCAAACCATCGGCTCCCCTTGCTTGTCCGCAGGAACCTCATGTCTTGATCTTCTCTCAACGGTGAGAGAAGCAGAGGTGCCAAATCGAGAGAGACACAGAGGAGACAAGCAAGGAGGGTTTCACGTACTGTCTCGCAGAAGTCTCGTTCCAACCTTCAAGCATGCCCAAGAGCGAAGCCGCAATTGTGCCAACTGCGACTAACGTGGTGGCTTCTGTACTCAGCAGCTAGCACGCAGCATGGGACGAATGACCTCCATAAAAGAAAGACAACGATCGCTAGCAACGTACCTCTATGGACACCCGTCTTGCTTTCCAACCAGCTCCAACTATCCGGAGAGTGTAATGACGGTCTTGCGATTCCGCGCGGGGAAGAAATGGTAGCAGCCATGCCCATTGCCTGCAACGAGTCTTTCGAAGACCTTGTTGTTGGTTGCGATGTTTAAAGGGCCTAGACCAACAAGCACACTCAGAAAAGGGGGCTCCACCGTTCATTTTGCCAGGCGCCTTCAATCTCAAGAAACCATGCTAAGGCATGTCAATTGCCATGGCGTTCGGAGCCCTGTCAGCCAAAAAGAGATCTCTGGGGCAAGATCCCGGCGTTCCATCACTTTGGAAGCGTGAATGGATGGCCATCTACGGAGCAGATTGACCAAGTGCGCGCACAAAGACGAAGTTTGCTTGCTAGCAGCCTGGAAGGCAAGGCTTGGCATTCAGCTCCCACTCCACCTGGATCACGAAGCGCTACAGCTCCAGGTTAAGGTGGCCATGATCGTTATGGTCGTCAACGATTTTGTGACCCGAATCAATCGTCAGCGCGCATACGCCGCCGAGTCTTCATATGGGCGTGCCGTCCCTGAGCCTCTCAGCGCCCACGAAACGATCGGAAAGATGTGAATGGCCAATGTGTCTCATTGCGTTGCCCATACGAGCCCCTGCTTTGCAGATCGATTGGCAGTCACCGTGGAGCACAGCGCTGGAGCAAAGCTGGTGGGGTTGTGCTTCTCTTCGCTTGGCTCGGCCAACCACGAGGCCCAACAACCTGGAAATCATTCCAATCAACCGATGCGAAAGGATGGCCTTGAAGTCGCTGGATTGTGTGCTTCATTGACGGGTTGAGAAGCCCTAAGTGCTTCCTCCGAGCCTAGGACCCGTTGAGCAAAAAGCAAATTTCAACTCGTGTCTCGGCGCGCCCTCAATGCCCGTCACTGCAGGTTCTGAACCATCCTGACTTCTGCATGAGCTACGCAGACGTACGTCTTTCGCAGCGCGGAATGATGTGCCTGACATAGGGGTGCAGCCGACACTGCGCAGCGCGGTAGGAGAGACTTCCCGCAGCTCCGCGACCCTTGATGCCACCCCCTCGAGTTGGTGGTCCCCTGTTCTTGCACAGACATGTCCATTTCGGTCAGCCAAAGACGACCACCCAGCAGCAGTCCCACCCACACCTTTTACCCCTGGCACACCACCCCGCAACACGCCTCCACCACCACAAATCACAATCACCACCACCATCGCGGACTCCTGCTCAGCTAGCCTGGCGTGTCTGGGCGTCACAAAGGTGTCTTCATCTACGGATATTAGTCTCTACCAGACGGCGCACTAGATGAACCAGCGCACTATAGTGGCTCTGTAGCCGCGGACTGGTGACATCCGACAAAGTTTAACTCAGTATGAACCTCAATGCACTATCGAATAGGGATTTCCGCAAGTCCAGCGATGACATCGATGTTCGGATAAGGAGAGGAAGGGTTTCGAAATCAATCCCATCGGTCACTGGTTCGGCGTATACGGCTCATGTCATTTCTATCTGCCCTACATCCATGACCCGGGTGTCAGACTGAGGATGAAAGTTGGTAGTCTCGAAACAGCATTGTACACAGTAGTTCGGTACGGCAAGCCGCATCGCCGGAATATCTGCACAAAGTGGAAGGCGGTTTGATCGACTGTACCCGTCAGATATCTGAGATTCAAGGTATCCATCCTATTGGCTCGAGTTGAAATTATGGGCTGTCAAATCGTCTGGATTGTCAACTTCGCAACCAGGTTGAGGCGCGATCTGAGTCGTTATAGCTGCAGGGTCGAAAACCACTTAGACAAGGAATTGCAGTCACCTTCTTGATTGACCGTTCAGAATCCCAACAGTGTGCCTCAGAGTCGATAGCGCGCAGGCTGTCCTGTCACATCTGCTGAATTCAAGACCTTCCAATACCAGAAGCCACAGGTAGGGGTCCTAGCTTGGCGTTGGCGTTGGCACTGTTTTGTTGTGACAGCCTTCGGAAGAGCTTCTCGAACATGCGGAAATGCGAAGTGCCGCAAATATGTCGCTCGGCCGCGATTTTGGGTCCAGACAACGAACGCAACCTTAGCTTGCATTCAAATGACAAAGCCGAATTTTCGTCATTTCCGTCATTTCATTATGGCAAACGACATGGCGTCAGCCAACCTCTAGGTTGTTTGGAATATCTTGCCCATCGATAAACCCGTTGCCCGGATCGGATTGGTGCGCTGAGCAACAATACTCGATTCTGCTCCCGCCAGCGACCAGCTCTATTTCGGTCTCAGACAAAGAGCCCCTTAGGAAATTTCGACAACTTCTTGAGTACGGCATACCAGAGGGACCACCATCTCAATCAGGGAATCGACTCTTTCCGGAAAGGTTGAGGATCCGGACCACTCGTGGAAGAGGCTTGACCACATCGTCGGGTCCTGAAGCCGAATCATTGTCATCGCGAGAGCCCCGCTGTATGCATGCTCAATGTAACAGCTACCGTGGTCTACGAGCCTAGCCCTTGCCGACAACAAGAAGAACTTTCTGAAGCGAGCAAGCCAATGACCAGCATTGTTTCGCTGGCTGCACCGACTTCAGCATGAGGATTCCTATCCTGTCATCGCAGTAGAGGAAGACATACACGGCTCACCTGTGACGTCGGTACCAGATAATGGAACGGCAACGGATGACCAACAACTTCCCTTGGACCTACTAGGCATGGTCTACCGAATCAATGGTGGATTACGCCACGACACCCAACGCCCAACGCCCGGCTCTAGTCACAGCATGGCCGGGTAGGCTCTCACAAGATCCTCGGTGAGAGGGCCCGGAGCCGGACCAGATCGCCAAGGTAGCTCGGGGGCGGGCTGGCTGGCAGACGGCGTCCACCATGATCGATCCAAAAATGAGAAGCATGTCTCCTGTTGCGATAGAAACATTGATCGAGTCAGATCCATTGGCTGCAGGCATCTATCGTCAGACACTGCGGACCCTGAATGAACGCGATGATGACACTAGAGCCGGCCGTAATACCTACCGTTGATGGTATACGTCGCCGTGGTCCATCCCGAACCGCCAAGGCCCGTCGGGGTTTTAGGTCGTTCCCCTTGCAATGAGACTCGGGTGACAGTGAGAAGACACGCACGAATAGACCATGGAGTCCCCCGGGTAAAATACACAGAACAAGAGGCGCCTATCGAAGCCTGAAGGAGTCTTGGAGGGAAAAACCACTCAGATCCGTGGGAGGCGTAGACAGCGCCGACCGAGCGGGTCCGGCACCGGGCGACCAGCAGTTTTCGGGAGGTCGCTAAAGGCGGGCGGAACGGGAAACTAGCCCCATTTGGCCAGCCTCCCGAAATGGTAATCCAGGGGCAGCGAAGCGTCGAAGCTACGCCGCACTCCGCAAGCCTGGTGGCCGAGTGGTAGCCGGCCAAGGACGCGTCGGCCTCTCTTCAAGCTTCTAGGGCGCACCTTGAAGAATTCCGTCAACGGCTGTCAGTCGCGGGTAGTCGTTTGTCTACACTAACGTGGTACTAACAGTACGAGGTGCTTACCATAGTGTGGTACAGAGGACAGAGTAGAGGCTATGGATGGGCTCACACCTTTCTCAGGAGGGCGCCCCGCCAATGAACCCAAGCCGAGATCTCTGTTCCCCTCATCAATGCGTGACGACACATCCTGATATCAAGAGCGACGCTCGTAAGCACGCGTTCGTCACGGCAGGCCCACCGGCTCACTCGCATAGGTCCACCGTCCACCCAGCAAGCCGTAGAGCCTGTCCTCTCCGATCTTGAGTTCTCAGAAAAGGCAACGAAGCACACAAGGGGAATGGCTTCCGCTACCCGGGTCCGGATGCCACCCACATGGCGTGCCTGTGAGCACGTAGTGTACAGTGCAGCGTGGCATAGGAAGCGAGACGTTCCATCAAGACTGGAACCCGTCATGCCATCCTATCTCGTCAGCCGCAAGATGGCATCGAAGAAGAGAAAACGACTGGTCGCCTTGCGAGACTTCAAGAGGCAATTCTTGTCGGCCCAGGCGCAGGGCATGTGTGGGAGCGGAAAGGCTTCGCCGCGCCGGGAGAACGTCCATTTTGCAACAACGGCAGGGTGCTATTCGGGCACCCTCGAGAACGTGATTCGACCTCGACCGAGTTTTCCTCAGCATGCAGCCCATTGCTCACATCCGATGGGGGTAAGTCACAACATGCGGATGGAAGTGTCTGTATCCGTACCAGTCTACACTGGCGCACAAGAAAGCAACAACAGACGGCCCCTCTTTGGGCCGCAATATATCAACGTGCCCTTGAAGCAAATGCCGCTCGGGGGCTCGGAGCAGTGTAAACCTTATCAACTGTCAAAGTATTGAGAGCGGAGGCATTTACGATTGATTCGGACAAAAGAAAAAAGGCTCATCCACTTTTCCAAGGCACCTTATCCACGTCGCGCCCCGGGAACATGATCGCATCCTGGGCAGACTTTACAAAGACCAGGACTAGGTGCTTTTCCACCACGTTCATCTCATCCACTTCTCCACTAGATTTTTGTTCTTACCCCTGGCGCCCCAAAGAACTTTTGGGTCTTTGCCCCCCTCCTCAAAATCTCGAAAACCAACGGACTAACGGTTCCACTGCCTTTCAAAAGAAACAAAGCTACAATGTGTCAGACTGGCCAGGGCCGAGCTCGTACCCATGATATGGTAATTCTAGCCAATGGATCGCCCTAATTGTTGAGCTGTTTGCCTGTCAAAATACCAGGTTGAAAAGGAAGCCAGGAAGCTTGCCCCCGCGAAACGACTTCATTGAGCAGGGCTTTGCTTGACGCGATGCTCTTTTTGGTTCTCAGCCCATGGCGGGCTCGACTTGAATCCACAGAGCAGGCGAATAGGCAGAATAAACCTTGTGGATTAGAGCCGAGCACATGGCTATCCTCCCTCAAATATATGAACCTCTGGTCAAAGAGGCAGCGTTAGTGGTACGATGACGACGATAAGAGCCAAACTTCACTGCAAAATTCGACGTCTATTCAGGAGCTCACATGAAACGCTGAATCGACAGATATGGGCTGCCACCTCCACGCTTCTGGTTCGGGATGTCGAAGCAGCTTCTACCTGGGACAAAGAAACCCAAAGCCCTTCGTGCAGCTGATCTTGACCGACCCCCTTCAGAAGAGTCTTCTTACGGATTGGATGCCACGGCCCACCACACGATTCTGCCACTTAGCCTTCATTTGGTCCTCCTAGAAAACCTCGCACCCACGACTGCGAACTTCATGGAATCCTCCAAACTTCCAGGATGTGTATGCACCTCAGATGCAGGCACAAGTCGCATTGAGGCCGCGGGCCGTAGGTGTGGTTGGTCAGAGTAACTTGAAGGGTGTGTAAGATGCATCTTGGCATCGCGGGTACACGCCATGCACTCGCAGATGCTGACTGAGGAGTCGTGAGAATCGCATCACTATCCATCCCCCCTTCCACGAGGCCGGATTGGGGGCCCTTTTTTTTGCACTTGCTACGCAACGATCTATCGGTCTCCGCATGCCGTCATGGTTGCTCTCTATTGTTTCACGAAGCCTGGCCCCCGGAGTTGTGCCTTGGGAGTGGAATCTCTTTCGGAGGATCAGACAAGAAGGTCCCCTCTTTGTAAATCGCCCAGCCTTCTTTCGCATGGTCCATGGCCCGCCAGGGCGGTGCTCACACCTCAAGAAGACTGACGGACATGGGAATTGGCCGGTCCGATTGAATCCTCCAGTGGGCCGAGTCCTGGTAAGGAAAGGCGCAACGGGTCTCTTCTCAATTCTCACACCGGGAGCCTTGCGGCCTGGGGAAGCGCCGGTCGACTTTCTACAAGAGGACATGGTATGACTATGGGAGACGAACCATCAAGGGCCGCGATGCGGAGAGGAGCGATGAGGCTTGCGGGAACCCGCGGGAGCTCATTTCACGAATGATTTCCCCGATTCTGCAGAGGGGTCTCGAAGAGGAGAGCTGACCGGTCTCTGGTCTTGGTGCGCGGCACAGCTCATCAACGCGACGCACCTGCTTTTTCATGTACATGCGGTTGGAATCAACAACATGCAGGCCAAGAAATCTATACAGGAGGCCCAGGCCGCGGATGGCGTTCGCTAAGAAGCCTAGAGGAAGAAAGGGAGGGCAGCAAAGTGAAAGGTAACGGACGACCACAGACGCCCCATGAGCTGTTTGCCCTACGGTAATATGCCACCCCGGATTCCTCCAACTGTCGATGTTGGGAGAGTTTATCCCACTCACACGCCGTCTGACAATTCATTTCGCGAAATCAACCCGCTTGTGGACTGTGCGTCTGGGACGGCACAGATGAGGCTAATGATGAGCGGGCTAGCGTCGCGACTATTGACATGACCCTCGCTGCAAATCTACCAGCAATTTGGGAAAAGCGAAGCCCCGGGGGCCTCAGCGACGAGGATTTTGTCCCAGAGGAGGTCTGCATACGACGTTGGGGTACCGTTCAGTGGGATTATCCGTCTTTGTGATCGACATAACTGCTCCGCCGTGGTGGGCGGAAGGGAGAGGGATAAGAACAAACAACAGACTTGGGGTCCGATGATCCGACGATGGGGTTCACGCGTTCTTCCCCGTTTCTAGTGTACTCGTACTACGGGCATTTCTTTCTTTTTCGGTCGTCGTTTTTTTGTTGGAACTCCCAAATCCGTATCTGTTCCTAACGACAAAAACGACGCACCGGTTCCAACGACGGAATATCCACACTGGATGAAACCTCTAGAAGGACCGTCGAAGAGGTCTAGCTGTTTGACTAGAACTGAGACATTGCTAACTTTGGCCTAGAGCTGCTGGCTGGCGTCAAGGTAGCGTCGCATCGCGCCTTCTGTCAGAGAGCTTCCACCCGGCGGTATTTCGTGCTCGTAGGGCAATGATCAACAGTTTGATGGCCCTTTTTCGGTTTGGTCATTCGAGGCTTGATTTTGTTTTTTTCTGGTTCTGTCTGGTCTATCGAACCAACAAGTGGAGGGAGAAGGTCTTTACACTTTCCGAGCGATTCCGATACCACGTCGGCATTACTCTGTTGTCTGTCCACGTAAGGCTTTTTTTCTTCGATGGCATGTCTCACTATCTTTTTCTTCTAGCGCTTCTCGCGGGGCAAAGGCGGGGTGAGAGTTCTGTCTAATTTCTGATCTTGACTAAGGGGGTGTGTAGCGGGCTTCGATATTTGCTATACACCCTCTCAGACATCTCGGAGGGGGGACCAGAAATTTGCCTGACTTGTTGACCGGCCGTTGTATCGATTCTACTCATTCGAGTCGGTCTGGCTGCGAGTCCGCGGTGTCCTTTCGGTATTGGCACCCGCAACGGTGGTGCGTCGGTCGAATGTCTCAGTCTCATTGTCTCAGTTGTGCATCGCCGAGGTTTGGAGATCTCTGGAGGAGGGTGCGCGCCTGAGGCGGATTTTGGTCTTGTGAATCAGTGTTCACGAGGTTCCGAGGACACTGTCGCATTAGAACCCTCGGCCGTACGGTGAGGGTTGGAGTTGCCAGCCAAGCTTACAGCGTCCACAGATGTCGCATTCTCATGGGATGAATGAGGTGTAGTTTGCGAACCGAGTCTTTCGCTCCCTCTGTTGATTGCCCAGGTAGGAGAAGGGGGTCCGATGTTCAGTCTCGGTTGAAACCGAGGCAGACGGTGCGGTGCGTTGGGGGGAAAGATCTCCAAGTGTTGATCATGGGCTTGTCGATGTGCGGGGTTCACGCGGGTGGCCTCGTGGCTTTTTTCTCCCTCCAATGATTGGCATTCGCAAGTGTTGCTGCCTCGGTTGGTGATGATGATGTTCTTGGGCTCTTCATCTTATGATTTTTCTCTGATTTGCAGCAGCGCCAACGGAAGATGGAGTGGGCTAGAGAAGAGCCGGCTTACAGACTATCGAGCTGGGGGCTTCTTTCTCGAGGAGCTGTGCTTTTCTTTTCGAAGGAGAGAATGGGGATATGGCGGACCGAGCATTCGGTCCTTTCTTCGTCGACTTTCCGTCCTAGTTCAGCCCTTTTTCGGGTGGGAAATTGTTCGGAGAGAGTCTATTGCCTCGAATCTCTTTTGGTCTGGACGTGGATGACGTGGATGAGGATCTTCATAATTTGATGGCTCCCTCCGCCGCTGAAGAAGTTGCGGTGGTGTTCGCGTTATTGGTAACTTGGCCCGCCGGCCGATGCTCGGTGGCAATGTCTACTGTGTAGTCGGGTTACATGCATGCATGAGGGTAGAGAGAACCCCACGTCTGGCGTGTGAGTCTTTGGAGAAGGGCCTCGTGAACAGCTTTGATGTCGTCTCTGATGGTTCCCCAGATCGGGGATGAGGGTTTAATGGGACACGCTGCCATGTTTGTGAGAGGATGCGAGGGACTGGTCGGCTCGGAAATGGGTCATTGGCGGGAAAGTCCGATGCTTAGAGGTCGTAGACAGACGTATTGAGCAAGCGATTCCTCAATTCCGGGGAGGATATTGGCAGTATCTAGGAGCATCTTGGTGTAAATCAGGTGAGTGCGTATGGCGTTAAAGTACAGGTATCAGTTCACGAGCTGGGTCAAGGGTGGCTGTATTGACTAGCTTTGCTCCGGTTTACACGTCAATCTACGCTTGCTTCAGCTGTAGAGCCAGAACTATATCACACATATCCTGATATCAACTTTATAGCCTCGTGTTGGTGAACGAGCTGTATGCTACTCTTCATGGCATATCTCCCCCCCCCCCCCCCCTTCTCTCACTTCAGTCGCCACTTCCAGTTCAAGGGACTGGTTAATACAATGTGTCATTCTCAAAGGGCCTTGGTGTTATTCGTGTAACACTTGAGCAAAGCAGCTCATTCGCGGGGGTGATCATCGGCTCCCTAAGTGGGTGATGAGACATCAGATTTCTATAGTTGTTCCTGTTACCATTGTCAGAATCTTTGATTGGAGTATTCAATATCATCAACGGTATTGCAATTCCTCTGTCCTGGAAAGTGATTAGCTACCTTAAGAGCCTTCCCCCTCGTTCATCACCAAGTGTCCGTTTCATCTGTTCGGGTTATGATTTCAGCACATGGAATCGAGCCTAATTTGAGCTGATCTGAGCTTTTACAGGTAGAAGTCGGTTTATTTTGGGGTTTCTAACAGAGAATTCTATAAAAACTCCCTAAATGGCTTTTCTATGATTCCACCTATGACTTTTGCCTTGCCTTCCACTGTAAACTAGACATGGGCCGAGAGGTGATGAATGTGATCCCATGATTTAGGGCCTCAAGATCTCATCATTGCTTCGTTCTTGTGGAGTTTTCGTTGGGGAACACCACCCGGGCGACAGAGAAGAATGTTGGCCCGCGTGGCTATCACGCCCTCCCCTTGATATCTCATATTGGGAGGAATCCATGTCGCAAGCCCTGTCTCGATGTCAACTTAATGCCACCTTTCTGCCCGGCCGATCCAAACTCAACTGCTTTCCTCTCACATCTTGTGCAGACAGACCGAGGCTATGATGTCCCAATATTCAAATTGCCTACACTCAAAATCTTACCTTAAACCCATCTACTTTGTAAGATCTTTACTAAATACTTGCTTTGCCATACAAAGTCTCCCGTCGAGGAGTGTCTATCGCCTTTTGTATATGTTTTGCACCCAACAATAAGCTGCCGAGACAAAAGGGTGTTGCTTGGGGCTCTTTTGAAGTTTGTGGCGAGCTTGGGCGAGGTAGGTGGTGATGTGAGACGGATGTTGGAGCGACACAGCAGGTCCGCAGGTTGAGGGTGCAGCATGCGGAATGACTCCTCTCTCCGAAACACCACAATGCGGTGTCTTCTCAGTCGAGGTAGACAATACCGCCTTAGAGGTTGACAGGCTATTTTGGATCAGTTGATGAGCTTGTTGCTCCAGTCGCTGAGGGTTTGGTCGACTGTCGAAGGCGGATATCAGCGATGAATGTCAAGAGACTGATTTCCTGCTTGCTGTTTGACCATCACAGAGACTGCATAACTCTCACAAATATGCTTTTTCGCATTCGAAACTGTCAGGCCATTGGTGAGTAGCCGTGATCGGGTCTGTCGCGTCCACACAGCCACCAGAGCGATTGCCCAGGGAGGAAAAAAGACTGCTAGCTGTACTACTGTCAGTGATGGAGCTGAATATCAAAGAATTAATTCTCTGGGAAAACGCCTCATGGATGAACGGTACGCGGTGCGGGCTTTCCCACCACTGGACCACGACGACCGCAGCCATGTTCCCAACCTTTGACTTTGATGGCAGCTGCTCAGCACTCGGGACCACTCCCAGCCGAGGGGATCAAGGAGGATAATAATGGGAAAGAGAGATGGCGGTCAACGCTGAGAGGAACGTTATTCCTTCGATGCGGCTACGCTTTCTGACGATGAGGCGTTTCGAGATGCTATGACGAACACATCGAAGGCCGATATAACCATCGACGATTAGTACTTGAACACCTTGTTTTCCAGTTTCATGCGAATCCAGTAGACAATGCATCGGTAAGTGAATTCGACTGCTAAGATTAGAGCAAACGCATATCAGGCGCTGCTTCCGTCAGTAGTACTATGCGCTATAAGAAGATCATTCGTAAATCATTCGTCAGTTGATATCCAACTCTCGTCCTCTACAAGTACCTTAGCTGCTCCGTACCTTGCAAGACATAGGACGGAAAGGCAAGTTCAGAGTGAATCTTAGTAGGCCCTGTGCGTTGACCTGTCATAACAATTGCCTATGGACCGACGACAGTAACCTCGGGTACGACCCAGTTTTTTCATTCTGCTATCTCCTTGTGTCAAGCTTGACGCCCAAGTTCATCTCCTTGTATGCAGATTCATCAAACGTCACAGGCAATTTGCAGAGTATTACGTCGCCACCCATGTACAATAGACTTTGTGAATGCAAAGTGAGCGCAAAATGTGGCGATTGAATTACACAAACGGTTTCCTTCTGGAGGTAAAGAGGGGTTGAAAAAAAAGACGATGGAAATTGAAGAGTTTAGAAAGTTTCCCCTGACAACTTGTATAGAAATGTTGGTTGAAGTAGTGATCTGGAGTTGCGAGTGATAATGTGAAATCTCGATCGTGCCTTCCTTCCTGCCCGGCCTGAGGCTCGTTTCCACTGACGATATTAACAACCGTACCTACCTCCCCTTACCCAACCGAGAAATCTCTGGCCTCCATACTTTCTCTTCTTCTCCATTCCATCAGAAAAGAAATCTCGACCACCCCGCCGTTACCTGTAGCCGTGGACTTATTGAAAATCTAGTGGAAACATCTTTCTCTTATATATTGGACCGACTCGAGTGCTGTGCTCGTCAGTAAGACACGAAATTCTTCAAGGAGACGCCCATCAGCTGAGAACTACGACTAGAAGTCAAGAAGGCGGCGAAAGCAGTGAAGGAATTGTGTACTGAGAACGAGGTAAGTCAATCCGAGTTTTTAATTAACAATAAGAAAATTTCGAATTCATACATGTCTAGGTTGGCCGGGCCTGGACGAGGCACAAGGCTGAGAT